TTTTTTCCTTAGAGTTTCTTGAATACCCAACAGGTACTTTATTTTAAGTATATCTAAACAGGCAAGTAAAGGACTGCCAAATGTACACCCTCTCAGAAATAGGTGTTTTATAATCTCATAGACTCCCTGTAATTTTTGGAATTTACTTAGAAACACAAACAACCTGTATAACAAAATTTCTGTATAACAACATTTCTGATTCACTGCCTGTGAGCGCCTAGCTGTGGATTATATAAAATAGTTTCGTTTTACAATACAAGTGTGCAGAAGAAAGCCAGATATTACACCCCAAGGATGGCTAACTGACAGTTCTAGTGATCCAACTGGATCAGCAGTTCTCCCCAAATCTGCACCATTCAGTTTGGGGTATTCAGTGTATTGTTTAAAACCAGTACTTTTTGCATCAAAATTCTTTACAAAGTATAGGATATGTAATATTTTTTAAAGCATCAATTTTAAACAAAAACTGGATGGAATGCATTGCTGACAAGTGCACAATAAAAGAAAAAAGATTACAAAGTATATGGGAGTAAATATGAACCCCCATCTAACATTTGGAAGTTGAAAACTTCCTATTTATCTCCACGCGCCATGCTGTGTAGGGTCACCACCAGGCTGGTATTTTACTGGCACAGCTGGTATTTGAGGTTATATAGCTGGTGCCTATATTGCAAAGATATCGGCAAATCAAATGCCACTATTTTTTTATGACTGCGCTCCAGCCTTCACTGGGAGCTCCACTAGCTAGTAGTAAGATCATAAGATCTCCCTATCTGGCCAAGAGTTTATTTTTCTTTTATGCAGCAGTAGCAATACAAATCACAAGTGAAGAAATGTCACCTTCTGACACTATCAGCCCAAATACACACCTCACACAGAGAGAATCATTGGAGTAATGCCAGGTCTGGACTGGCCATAGGGCAAACTGGGCAAATGCCCGGTGGGCCCAGTGGCCATTCACCCCAATCATGTGATAACCACCCATCCAATTAACCCCCTTATACCTCCTTAGGGCGCTGTCAGTCATCTCATGAAGGTATTCATCATACATACCCACAAACATTGCAGTTATTTATCACCCCCGGGTTCTTCTTGTCTCTTCCTTGACCATTTTGCTGCCTGGCCTCCTTGATTCCTTTCAAGCAATATCCCATCCCTAATTCTCTGGGATTTCAACATTCCCATTAACCCACCCATGTCCTCAGTAGCCTCAAAACCTCCTCTGTAGCCTTCAATCACATTGGGCTATCACAATGGGTTAATTCTCCCACACATGTAGCTGGCAATAACCTAGATCTTATTTTTTCAAATACATGCTCAGTCTCCAATCTTTGTAATACTTCATTTCCTCTATCAGACCACCACCTCCTATATTTTGTTCTTGAGTGCCCCCACACCAAATATACTCAACCTAATCCTCCTCAACTCAGGAGAAATTTGAATTCTCTTGATCTCCAGCAGCTCTTGAATGATATCCATCCTGAACTCTCATCTATCCCTACCTTCTCTTGTCCCTCTCTGGCTATTTACTCATGTAATGCTACCCTCACCTCTGCCCTAGGTGCTGCAGCCCTGCTCCAAGCATGCACCTGAAGGAGGGCGCGCCTCCAACTGTGGCACACTAAGTCAACCCACTACCTGCAGAGATGCTCCCGTTCAGCTGAACGCTGCTGGAGGAAGTCTCGCACCTTGTCAGACTTTCTGCACTATAGATTTTTGTCTTGCATTTATACAGTGCAGCCCTCACTCTTGCAAAACTGTCCCACTTTTCTTCTCTCACTAGTTCATACTCACGCAATCCTCATCATTTCTTTAATACTTTTAACTCTCTTCTTCGCCCTGCTGTGGCCACCCAAAACACACAAACTAATCTTTCAGCTGATAACTTTGCATGTTACTTTACTGACATGATTAAACAGTTAAAGAATTAATTCCCCCCACTTCTCCCCTCTCTATCTCAACCTCACTTGGACTATACCATTCCTACCCTCCAAGACTTCTCTCCAGCTACTGAACAGAGGGTGGCTGCGCTTCTCCTTTCCTCTCGTCCCTCCACGTGTCCGCTTGATTCCATCCCGTCCCACCTCATCCGATCTCTTGCCCCTTGTCTAGTACAGTCATTAACGCACATCTTCAACTGCTCTTTTTTTTCTGGTGTTGTCCCAGCTCCCCTTTAACATGCTACTGTTGTACCTGTCCTCAAAAAGCCATCTCTTGACCCGTCCTCCCCTTCTAACTATCGTCCCATATGCCTGCTCCTTTTTTCCTCAAAGCTTTTGGAAAGGCTTGTCTTTACCCGTCTGACTTGCTTCCTCAATTCCAACTCTCTCCTTGACCCTCTTCAGTCTGGATACTGCCCCCTCCACTCCATAGAGACTGCTATGACTAGAGTTACAAATGATCTAACTGCAGCTAAATTCAAAGGCCACTACTCCATACTAATTCTTCTTGACCTCTCTGCTGTCTTTGACACTGTTGATCATGGCCTCCTTCTCCTAACTCTTCAATCTCTTGGTCTTTGTAAAACAGCCTTCTCGTGGTTCTCTTCCTATCTCCCCCAACGCTCCTTCAGTGTCTCTTTTTCCAACGACACCTCCTCTTCTCATCCTGTCTCAGTCGGATTCCCTCAAGGTTCAGTTCTTGGTCCCCTTTTGTTCTCTCTCTATACTGCCTCTCTTGGCAAACTCATTAATTCATTTGGCTTTCACTACCACCTATACGGTAAACAACACCCAAATATACCTCTCCTCCCCTGACCTCTCCCATGCTGTCCTGCAACGTGTCACCAATTGCCTTTCTTCTATCTCTGACTGGATGTCCTCCCGCTTTCTGAAACTCTATCTCTCTAAAACTGAGTTTCTTATTTTTCCACAATGCTATGCCAGCTCAAATTCTACAATTTATTCATCCTTCTAAGGTTGTATATAGCACTGAGCAGTGTTTGAATGTAAACTTGTTTTTGTATGGAGTATGTGTGTGAATGTACTGTTATCATTTGTGTTTGTATATAATGTTGACGTTTGAATGCAAAGGTATATTTTTGTGTAGTTTTGGTTTTTCAATGCTGAGATTTATGCACATATACCCATATACTACCACAAACACAGATATACATGTACACACACATACACAGACACACACACTGACACACATGGATATATACAGAAACAAAAACTGACATACATACAGACACACAAGTATAAACACTGACACATATACAGATACACAGACACATTGATGCACACACTGATACACATACACATACAGATACTCATACAGATACACAGGCATACAGATACATACAGTTTGTGTTATGAATGTGTCTATCTGTGCTTAGTGTTATATATTAATGTTAATATACCTATCTGAGTGCCAGGTACTATATACATGTGTGTGTGTGTGTGTGTGTGTATGTATCTCTCTCTCTCTCTCTGCCCCAACAGGGGAATATCACCAAGTAGACAATGCAGTGAATGTCCTGAGTACAGTGGAAGGCCATCTCTGGCTTCATGATTTTCGTGAAACACCAGGGTGACGAGATCAGGCCAAAAGGAAGACATGTAAACTGCCACAATCAATCACCCCAGCGGAACTGCAGGAAATGCCTGTCTTCAGGGGCGGACTGACCACTCGGGCATATCGGTCATGGACCGAGGGCCTGAGGCAGTCAGGGGCCCGGCAGCACAGCCATGTTCCAGCTGGAGAGATCAGAGATCTCTCCAACTGGACCGGCAAAAAAATAATAAAACTATTTAATCGATAGGTTGTGTGGTCCTTGATGCAGCGCGGGGCCTTCACAACCTACCGCTCTGCTAGTCACCCCCCAATGAGACCTGGCAGCTTTACCAGCTCTCTGCCAGGTCTCCTGCTTCCTCTCCCATGTGGCTCTGTGTGATGGGAGAGGCGGGGCCCGGAAGTGACCTCACTTCCTGTTTACTCCTCTCACACAGAGCCCAGCGAGGGGAAGGAGCAGCAGCCTGGGAGAGGAAGCAGACAGACAGGTAGGCACCAATCACCCCTCCCCCCCTCACTGTCACTAGTCACCCCCTCTCACTGTCACTAGTCACACCCCCTCACTGTCACTAGTCACCCCCCACTGTGTCACTAGTCACCCCTTACCTCACTCACTTTCACCCCTTCCCTCACTCACTCTGTCACCCCTTCCCTCCCTCACTTTGTCGCTAGTCACCCATTCCCTCCCTCACTTTGTCACTAGTCACCCCCTCCCTCTGTCACTGGTCATCCCCTCCCTCACTCTGTCACTAGTCACCCACTCACTCTAGTGACAGAGTGAGGGAGAGGGTGACTAGTGACAGAGGGAGGGGGTGAATAGTGACAGAGTGAGGGAGGGAGTGACTAGTGACAGAGGGAGGGATGGGGTCACACAGTGACAGAGGGAGGGGGTGACTGGTGACAGAGTGAGGGAGGGGATGACTAGTGACATAGTTAGGGAGGGAGTGACTAGTGACAGAGGGAGGGATGGGGTGACTAGTGGCAGTCACAATCTCCCTCCCTCTGTCACTAGTAACCATCTCTCTCCCTCTGTCACTAGTCACCCCCTCCCTCACTAGTCACCCCCCCCTCACTCTGTCACTGGTCACCCATTCCCTCCCTCACTCTGTCACTAATCACCCCCTCACTCTGTCACTAGTCACCCTCTCCCTCACTCTGTCACTACTCACACCCTCCCTCACTCTGTCACTAGAGTGAGGGGATGACTGGTGACAGAGTGAGGGGATGACTGGTGACAGAGTGAGTTAGGGGGTGACTAGTGACAGAGTAAGGGACGAGGGAGGTGACTAGTGACAGAAGGAGGGATGGAGTAGTGACAGAGGGAGGTGGTGACTAGTAACAGAGTGAGGGAGGTGGTAACTAGTGACAGTCACCACCTCCCTCACTCTGTCACTAGTCACCCCTTCCCTCACTCTGTCACTAGTCACCCCCTCACTCTAGTGACAGTGAGGGAGGGTGTGGCAAGTAACAGAGTGAGGGAGGGAAGTGGTGACTAGTGACAGCGTTAGGGAGGGAAGGGGTGACTAGTGACAGAGTGAGGAAGGGGGTGACTAGTTACAGAGGGAGGGGTGACTAGGGACAGAGTGAGGGAGGTGGTGACTAGTGACAGTCACCACCTCCCTCACTCTGTCACTAGTCACCACCTCCCTCACTGTGTCACCCCCTCCCTCTGTCACTAGTCAACCCTTCCCTCACTCTGTCACCCCCTCACTCTGTCACTAGTCACCCCCCTCACTCTGTCACTAGTCACCCCCTCACTCTAGTGACAGAGAGAGGGAGGGTGTGACTAGTGACAGAGAGAGGGAGGGTGTGACTAGTGACAGTGAGGAAGGGTGTCACTAGTGACAGAGAGAGGGAGGGGGTGACTAGTGACAGAGTGAGGGAGGGGAGGGGGTGACTAGTGACAGTCACCACCTCCTTCACTCTGTCACTAGTCACCCCCTCCCTCACTCTGTCACTAGTCACCCCCTCACTATAGTGACAGTGAGGGAGGGTGTGACTAGTGACAGAGTGAGGGAGGGAAGTGGTGACTAGTGACAGCGTTAGGGAGGGAAGGGGTGACTAGTGACAGAGTGAGGGGTGACTAGGGACAGAGTGAGGGAGGTGGTGACTAGTGACAGTCACCACCTCCCTCACTCTGTCACTAGTCACCACCTCCCTCACTGTGTCACCCCCTCCCTCTGTCACTGGTTACCCACTCCCTCCCTCACTCTGTCACCAGTCACCCCTTCCTTCCCTCTGTCACTAGTCAACCCTTCCCTCACTCTGTCACCCCCTCACTCTGTCACCCCCTCACTCTGTCACCCCCTCACTCTGTCACTAGTCACCCCCCTCACTCTGTCACTAGTCACCCCCTCACTCTAGTGACAGAGAGAGGGAGGGTGTGACTAGTGACAGAGAGAGGGAGGGTGTGACTAGTGACAGTGAGGAAGGGTGTCACTAGTGACAGAGAGAGGGAGGGGGTGACTAGTGACAGAGTGAGGGAGGGGAGGGGGTGACTAGTGACAGTCACCACCTCCTTCACTCTGTCACTAGTCACCCCCTCCCTCACTCTGTCACTAGAGTGAGGGGGTGACTAGTGACAGAGTGAGGGGGTGACAGAGTGAGGGAAGGGGATGACTGGTGACAGAGTGAGGGAGGGGATGACTGGTGACAGAGTGAGGGAGGGCGTGACTAGTGACAGAAGGAAGGAGGGAGTAGTTACAGAAAGAGGGAGGGAGTAGTGACAGAGGGAGGTGGTGACTAGTGACAGAGTGAGGGAGGTGGTGACTAGTGACAGTCACCACCTCCCTCACTCTGTCACTAGTCACCCCTTCCTTCCCTCACTCTGCCACTAGTCACCCCTTCCCTCACTCTGCCACTGTGTCACCTGCTCCCTCACTCTGTCACTAGTCACCCCCTCCCTCACTCTGTCACTAATCACCCCCTCTGTCCTTAGTGACAGAGTCAGAGAGGGGGTGACTAGTGACAGAGTGAGGAAGGGGGTGACTAGTGACATAGTGAGGGAGGGGGTGACTAGTGACATAGTGAGAGAGCGGGTGACTAGTGACAGAGTGAGGGAGTGGGTGACACAGTGACAGAGTTAGGGATGGAGTGACTAGTGACAGAGAGAGGGATGGGGTGACTAGTGACAGAGAGAAGGATGGGGTGACTAGTGACAGAGTGAGGAAGGGGGTGACTAGGGAGAGAGGGGGTGATTAGTGACATAGTGAGGGAGGGGGTGACTAGTGACAGAGGGAGGGAGGGGGTAACACAGTGACAGAGTAAGGGGGTGACTAGTGACAGAGTGAGGGAGCGGGTGACACAGTGACAGAGTTAGGGAGGGAGTGACTAGTGACAGAGAGAGGGATGGGGTGACTAGTGACAGTCACCCCCCCCTCACTCTGTCACCAGTCATCCCCTCTCTCTGTCACTAGTCACCCCTTCCCTCCCTCACTTTGCCACTAGTCATCTCTTCCCTCCCTCACTCTGCCACTAGTCACCCATTCCCTCACTCTGTCACTAGTCTCTCCCTCTCCTTCCCTCTGTCACTAGTCACCCACTCCCTCACTCTGTCACCAGTCACCCCCACTCACTGTGTCTCCCCCTCACTCTGCCACCACTCAACCCCTCCCTCCCTCACTCTGCCACCAGGTACCCCCTCACTCTGCCACCTGTCACAACCTCCTACACTCTTCCACCTGTCACCTTCTCCCTCACACACTCTGTCACCTGTCACATATGCATTCACACAGACACTATATACAAAAAAGCACATTTAGTCATCCAGACATGCACAAGTGCATTCACACAGACTCAAATACAAACATGCATTGATACACAGGTCTTCACAATACACACATCCAAAGGAATGCCATATTTTGAATTATATTTAACATTTATTAAAATGCACATATATTTGGCCTTCAAAGGGCCTGGGATCTAATTTTGCCCGGGGGCCCCAAAGGCTCTCAGTCCGCCCCTGCCTGTCTTCAAGATGGATAGAGGAGGTGACACGTCCATCAAGTTGAGACGGGAAAGCCAATCACCCTCACAGAGAATGTTGCATAGAAGATGGATGCCCTCCATCTTGAAGTGTCAATACACAACAGACACATTGAGTGCCCAAAGGTACTGGGTGGTAGTCTCCGTCTTCTTCCGCACCAGAAAAATATTGCACACAAAACAGGGTGGATCCTGCTTTCCTCTTTCTTCCGGACTAGGGCCATGACTTCTTGTTCACATGGAGGGGAGAAGGAGAGGTATCCACAATGGGCTCCGGCAGGAAGTCGATCTGGAAACCTGAAACCGTAGGCAAGATCCAAATATCCTGGGAGAGCTCTGACCACTTTCGGAAAAAGTGGGTAAGTCTTCCCACAATAGGAATATGTGGGAAGCAAGGAGCTAAAGTCCCTTGCAGCAGACCTGTTTCGGAAGGAGGATGTGCGACGGCCACAGGAAGACCCACGTCTTCCATAATGGGCTGTCAATGTTGTGGGCCGATTGGGCCAAAATAGCAGGAGCATGAGGAGGCAGGAGGCTGGAGGGGAAGCCCCAGAGAGACCCAAAGGAGGAGATGAGACCATGCAGTCACAGAGCCACATTAAAGTAACAAACCTCAGACACAGCCCAGCAAAGTCAGCTACGTAAATAGTGAAAATTCATATCTCCTAAGTGTCCCTGTTCAGAAGGGACAGTTTTTAATTTTGGGACCAGCCCCCATAGCCACACAGCTAATATTAAAATGTCCTACATTGACTCTTTTAAATGTTGGGAGGCGTAAAAATACACACACAACATGACCACTGAGTCTATATGCTTGCCAGGACTCCTCAATGGGGTGCAGTGTGTGAGGGGAAGAGGTAGTGCAGGAGGATGGGGACTTCTGGTGCCTCCTGTTCTGTGGAGTGAAGAGGAAGAGCAGTCTGGCAGAGACACCAGGTATGTTCTTCCCTGCGCAGCCTCCTCCTGATTGCACCCTCACAGACACCCTCTCTCCCTGACAGTCCCCCCTCCCTGCACAAATCCCCTCTCCCCCTGCATCCCTTACAGTCTTCCTCCCTCACCTTCACAGATCCCCTCTCCCCTGCACATATCCCCTCTCACCCTCCCTCCCCTGCACAGATCCCCTCTAGCACCTCACTCCCCTGCACAGACCCCCTCCCCCCTGCATTCTTGACAGTCCACCTCCCTCCCCTGCACAGTCCCCCTCTCTGCACAGATACCCTCTCCTCCTGCCTCTCTTACAGTCCCACTCACTCACCTGCACAGATCCCCCTCCCTCCCCGGCACAGATTCCCTCTCCCCCTGCCTGCCCTGCACCCTGACAGTACTCATGCTTCCCCTGCACATATTCCATTATCTCCCTGACAGTCCCCCTCCCTCCCCTGCACAGATCTGATTTCCCCCTTTCTTCCAGAGGACAGATCCACTCTCCCCCCTCCCCTGTACAAATCCCTCCCTCCCTCCCCTGCACAGATCCCCTCTACACCTCCTTACTCTGTACAGATCCCCTCTCCCCCTCTCCACTCTGCACAGATCCCCCCTCCGCCCTCCCTCCCCTACACAGATTCCCTCTAGCACCTCCCTCCCCTGCACAGACCTCCGTTCCCCCTGCCTCCCTGACAGTCCACCTCCCTCCCCTGCACAGATCCATGCTCTCCCCTGCACAGATCCCCTCTCCCCCTGACTCCCCTGCACAGTATCCACTGTCTACCTGACAGTCCTCCTCCCTCCCTTGCAAAGATTCCCTCTCTCCCCTGCACATATTCCCCTTCCCCATCCTTACCCTTACAGATCCCCTCTCTACTTCACTCTCTCTGGCATAGTTCCCCTCTCCCCCTGCCTGCCTGCCCTGCACCCTGAAAGTACTCATGCTTCCCCTGCACATATTCTAGAGCCGCCTCTGGGTGTCATAATAGCTTGCATTTATAAAAACAAAAAACTTTTTGGACTGTAATATAATACCAGTCAGTTTCCTTCACGAGTGTGCGTTTCAGGGCCTGCCCAGGTCCACCACTCACTCACTGGTGTCCCAATAGCAGGCATTTAAAAAAAAAAAACACTTTTTGGACTGTAATATAATAGCAGTCAGTTTCCTTCACGAGTGTGCGTTTCAGGGCCTGCCCAGGTCCACCACTCACTCACTGGTGTCCCAATAGCAGGCATTTAAAAAAAAAAAAAAACTTTTTGGACTGTAATATAATAGCAGTCAGTTTCCTTCACGAGTGTGCATTTCAGGGCCTGCCCAGGTCCACCACTCACTCACTGGTGTCCCAATAGCTTGCATTTAAAAAAAAACAACTTTTTGGACTGTAATATAATAGCAGTCAGTTTCCTTCACGCGTGTGCTTTTCAGGGCCTGCCAGGGCACAGTGTCACACCAGTGCAACTCATATCTGGTGTAACAGTAGTGTACATTTTAAAAAAAAATTCCAATTTTGACTGTAATAGATTGAATAGCAGTTAGTTAGTTGTCTGCCAGTGTGTGTGTCAGGCTCACAGCGTATACTGTGCCCACTTGCCCAGTGCCACCACTCATATCCGGTGTCACAATAGCTTGCATTTAACAAAAAAAAACTTTTTGGACTGTAATATAATAGCAGTCAGTTTCCTTCACACATGTGTGAGGGCACAGTGTCACACCAGTGCAACTCATATCTGGTGTAACAGTAGTGTACAAAAAATGTCTGCAAGCGTGTGTGTCAGGCCACAGCATCTACTCTGCCAACCTCTGCCACTGCACAGTGTCACTCATATCTGTTGTCACAGTAGCTTGCACGCATACTACCACTAATCGAAAAAAAAATGACAGGCAGAGGCAGGCCACCCCTCAGGGGCCGTCGTGGTCGTGGTGCTGTGATTCCCTTTGGCCCTAGAATAATGCCCAGTGTTCAGAGCCCACGTACCCTGAACTCGAAAAGTTCTGAGGACATAGTTGACTGGCTAACACAGGACACCCAATCTTCTACAGCTTCCGCTCGGAACCTTGACGCACCTTGGCTTTTCCCTGGTTATTCTGACTTCTGGTTTCCCTGACTTGGCTTGTGTAAACGGTATTGTGTATTTTCTGGCTTCCTTGACCTCGGCTTTCCCTTTGACCATTCTCTGTCTCTAGCGTATTAGTCCGGCCATTCTAAGGTCCGGTTTACGCTCTGTCCTTTTATTTTCCTTTTCTTGCCAATGTATATGTTTACATAGTTTCTGCATGCTGGACCACACTAGTAGTCGTGACATTGGGATTAAACTGATAAGAATAGTACTACTTAACACACCACTCCTATCTGGTGGCACATTAGATTGCACGTGCAGTGCCCCAAATTTGAAGTAGGAGGACCGACCAAGCATCTTTTTCCATCTCCCGGTTACTAAAATCAATGCCATATACACGTCCTCTCATAGGGGACGTAACAGGGATTAAACTGATAGGAAAAGTACTACTTAACACACCTTATAATAACGCAGAGAGAGGCAACGCAGAGAGAGGAGTCTGAAGAAGAGGAGTCAGAGGAGGAAGGTGGCTTTGAGGAGGTGGAAGACCAAACACAGCAGGCGTCCCAGGGGGCTTGTTGTCACCTTTTGGGGACCCTTGGTGTTATACGTGGCTGGGTGGAGGAAGAGACCATCAATGACATCAGTGAGGACAAGGAATGGGACATGTGCAAATGGGGAGTTTGCGGTTGTGCAAATGGACTG